GCTCACAGATTTCTTTTGTTTGCTACAGAAGGGATTTGTTTTGATCATGGTTGTCTTCAGAAAAGACAGTGCAGCTGCCTCGCTTTTTATACGTTAATTATCTTTAACTTGCACTACACCTATCAACTACTAGGCATGAGATATTATAAGTGTAATTCGAACTCTTTCATGGCTTTCTACCCAAAGGCTTCATCACTTAGGAAAAATCTTTGTGCAACGTGTTAGCTACGAGAAGGGTGAATGGCTTCGTCTTACAACGCAAGGGATAGTCCCCCCAAAACCTCCCACTGGGGTGCAATCCAGATGTGTTTTATTTAACTGAGTTTTGGCCTCCTCTCATACCCTCAGCCTTCACTAAGCAGAGACAGCCAGTGCACTTCAACAGAGAAGAAACACTTGGTCAACATCAAGGGCCTCAGAAAAAGAGTTACCTGAATTATGTCCCCCTCCAAAAAACAACCCAGTTTGAAACCTCAACACTTAACTAATTCTAGAAAGACAGAAAAAGGAAAATAAATACCAGTATTAATGGGAGGAAATATTATTCTCCAAATAAGTTATTATTCAAGGAATTTCCAGTAATTTGTCCAGGTCAAGTATTGCTGGGAGATAAGACTGTAATTATTACTGAATTAAACTTTTTTTCTTTTTTTAAAAAGCTAAAACAATACACTGAAAAGATCATTAAAAATACTGCCCAGTCAGTGTAAAACAGTGTTTACGAAAACTTGTAATGTGTAGTAATAAGCTGCTACTTACTGTAATTTGCTAAATGTTAGGACTGTGCTGGCTGTCCCCATGCCTACTGAGAGGGGCATGTGGCAACTTCAGCCAAGCACTCGGAAGGGGCAGATTCCAGAAAGCTACAAGGTCCTTCACAAAGTAATGGCTGGTTTTACTGTTTCCCATCGTATAACAATTCACTATTCTTGCTTTAGTATTTTTTTTTGATCATGACTAACATGATAATGAACTCTGTCCCAGGGCAATGGCTCCCAATCCATGCAGCATTAACCTTCGGTGGTTTCCTACGCTTCTTGAAGTTTCATGACATAATGACCACTCCTACATCATTTCTATGCCCAGCAATCGGATATAAGTTCTCTAAATTCTATTCTGTTTTTTTTAAATCAATAAATTTTGGATTTTCTGAGCATTCCCTGTTAAGCAATCATGGAGAATGCAGCCACGCTTTTCCATCTGCTAACGTGGTAACAGTAAATTTTTCCATTCTCCCAATTCTTTTGGCATTTTCTACTTTAAGGTCAACTCCACCTCAAATATCAAACTAGGTACACAGTACAGATTTCTGCCAAAATGGCTTTACTGACTGACACAGCTGTTCTGGGAGAATTCCCTAGTTGTTAATGCAGGTGCACTTGTATCAGCAAACAGGATTCTCCCAGAACTGCTTGTTTTGCAGCACATTAGGACTCGTTTGCTGGTACCTGATTCCAGTATTCCTGCACTGAAAAAGTGCTCCCACTGTTGCCATCGCCTTAACAGTCTGTGCCAGTGGAACACTACCTGTGCGTAATTTAGCCCTTATAAGGATAATTTCAAAGTCTTGCACATTTTCAGAGGATATGGATTTGAAGTCCTGAAAGAATATTGCTTATTACGTCTCTTCCAAAACCACAGATTTCAATTTCTGAAAATAAAATGGAAATTTTAACATAAAACTCTTTTAAAAGGTAGGGATGGAAAAGTAAGAAGATTTTTCTTCCTGGAAACACAGGAAAACATGCTTTCAGATCCGTGTAAATACCAGTTTTAGTTTCTTAAACAACATAGTAGGATTGCTTGTCCAGCAGTTGGCATTCTCTTCTGTATTGTGCGTTCATTAATGAACATGAAGGAAATCTGTAAAAATAAGTCTCTGTTGCTTTAATGCTAATATTAGTCACATGTGAAATCTGTCTGTTCTTATTTAAATAAAATATATTTAACTTTCCCCTCCAACATTTATGATAAAACCACAAAACCAAAATAAAGTCATAATTTTTCTAAATAACAAAAGGAGTTGTTAATGGGCTAGCATGCAGCAATTCAGCGTAGCTAGCTTACAAGCAACTAAGAGGTCAGAATTGGAGCAGAAAACCTTTACGCTACTATTTCTATTTTGATAAAAATAATTTCACACCTTTGTGATCATAAGACAATCTGCAAACCACAAGGTGTCTTAGAGCTCAGCAAAATTTATTACTTCATAATGCTTCATCAGAGTGAGAAGCAAAGAGCACAGAATTAAAAATGTACATGCTCTTCTAAGGAAAAGTGCTTTTGAGAAAGAAACTCATAGAAAACAATATCAAGCTGTAAAAAAACCCAAACCAAGTGTTTGGATTTTTTTTTTGTAATGCATACATGGAGGCTATCTGCTCTCTTTAGATCCTAATCCACCTTTTTGTCTCTGAGAGTAACCTTCTTTATAATTCATCAGACCCATCAGCTTAGAAACAAGCTGCAGTTATTCACGTATACTCTTGTGTACCCCACTGAAGTTTTTCAAAGCATTGTAGAGGAGGGCAGTGTACTTCACTTCTGAAGCTGTAACTTCATGAAACATGATTTGTTCCCCTCTATAATTTAGTCTTCAGTACAGAAGGAACAAAACCAGTACAGAACTATTGGCACTTGCGCAGCCTGTGGAGCACCCTGTGCTGCACGACGACTGCAGCCAGTCAATGCACTGCTGTTGATGCAGCAGACTGCTCGTCTTGCTTAAGAAGATATACTGATATATATAGAGTATATATATACTACATATATCATATATATGTATGATATATACTGATATATACTGATAGAAAAGCACCCTATGATCTTTATGCTTATATTTTTTCCAGGAAAAAAATACAAAAAGAAAAAAAGTACTGAGATGAAATGTTTTGCAAACTACGTGTGAAAACGACATGTGTGAAACGACAAGAAGACGGAAAGTGAGGTGTGTACCTGTCACGCACTGTTCTCTGCACTCCAGGGCTGCAATGTCTATAGAGCACATACTTTGCTGAGGACATTGCCACTACATTGCAGGTCTGGTTAGATATGTTCATCGTATAAAAGTATTACATTATCATCGAGTGGCGAAAGCTTTGGTGAGTTCAAGTGTCAGCACTGCAGAGAGACATTTGACTTGCGAGTCTGTAACATAATTTTGACGTGACCTGTAGAAGGTTAATGTATATTAAGCAGGGATGATTTTGCAAAGTTCCGTGCCTATTAAGTTATCTGTTTTTCTTGAGAACACAGACTGCATTTATTGGAAACACTATATGCCACAGTCCTGTGCATTATTTTACTGCAAAACAACAAAACAGAACTTTTCTGAGGCTTCTTCATAGCCCTGCAGTGACTTACCACATCTGTCTTGTAAAGCATCCTCTTTCAAATTGCCTGCCCTGCGTAACCGATCCACTCCGGCCAGCTGGCCTAGCTGCCACTTGCGTCCCTACGGCTAAAGCTGTAGGTGGGGATCTCTGGAGGGCCGTGGTGCTTGCCTGCCACTTGCGTCCCTACGGCTAGTGCTGTAGGTGGGAATCTCTGAATGCCTGGAAGTGCCAGAACTTCAGTGGAAGCCACACCATTTTAATGAGGTAATGAATTTCACTTCTTATGGGTGCAAATATGTGTGGTGTGAAGTCTTGGCAAGGATTTTACAAGGGCACCATATTTAGAGAGTTCAATTTGCTAATGAAACACCTTAATTTTAATGGTCAGCTGTAAACTCACTGACTGGAGTCTGAGTCAGTTGCTGTACACTGGGATCCGTCCATAAATAACAATAAAAAATACTCTCCAAGCAAACTGTAAATGACCAAGAAGAAAGGCATATATTTTTATCTACTGATGTCATGTTTAACTGACAAAATCACAAATTTTCGTTTTATTTTATGTTTTCACTCTGTATTTCTGGCAGAGGAATGTGTGCTGTTGTCATTACCCCGCTCTCGTTTCCATGGCGTTTGAGTCATAGCAGTGTCTTTTCAGCCATGATCACACAATCACATGAATCCCAAAATCCCATTACTGACGAAAAAAAAAAAAATTGTTTTTAATTTGTTTTTAACCTGATTATTTTACTGATATATTTTTAGAAGCGTCTCTAGCACAGCATCGGCTTGAAGTTCTAGAGCACCTCCGATGAAGTCCTGGTTCGGGAGTTAAAATGTTCCAGAAATCACTTCTGAAAGTCTGAACTGGAGAGTAGGAGAATATCACACTATGGATTTGGGTAGCTCTGTGCTAGCTGGACTCTATGCCAGAGAGCAACTCTGTGTGTTTTAATACTGTAATACAGTGGAAACCTGTTTCTCTCAGATATGACACTACTACAGATTTAAAACTGCCAGGCAGGAATTGGATTGCAGGTACAAAATATGAAGTTAGCTTGCCAAACAACTTATTTGGCTTCAGAATCACTATGCTACAAATAAGTTAGGAAACAAGTTAGCTGTTTGAAAGCCAGTTAGCCACACTATCACTATATAGTTGTAAAATTCCATAGACTAGTATGCTATTACTAGTATTACTGTTATTACCACCACTAGTAGTACTAGCTAACATTGATTGCAGACCAGATGTGCTGATACAGATTTGGCCCCAGGCATGACCTGTGAGGATGATGAGGGGACTGGAGCATCTCTCGTATGAGGAAAGGCTGAGAGAGCTGGGTCTGTTTAGCCTGGAGAAGAGAAGACTGAGAGGGGATCTGATCAACGCTTATAAATATTTAAAGGGTGGATGTCAAGAGGATGGGGCCAGACTCTTTCCAGTGGTGCCCAGTGACAGGACAACAGCCAATGGGCACAAACTGGAACACGGGAAGTTCCATCTGAATGTGAGGAAAAACTTCTTCACTGTGAAGGTGACAGAGCACTGGCACAGGTTGCCCAGAGCAGTTGTGGGGTCTCCTTCTCTGGAGATATTCAAAACCCGCCTGGACGCAATCCTGTGCAACCTGCTCTGGGTGACCCTGCTCTAGCAGGGGGGTTGGACTAGAGGATCTCCAGAGTTCCTTTCCAGTCTCTACCTTTCTCTGATTCTGTGTATCCTGCAAAATGCTGAGCAACTTTAGCTTCTTCATCTACATTGGCCTTTAAGAAATAAAATTTGCTTCTCCAGCTAATAAGATCATCCAAGATGACCTAAAGACAACATAAAATACAGAGAATGTCTAAAAATACTGTAGAATGATATCGTACAGGCATAATAGACTACAAATTGCAAGCCACAATGATAGCATTTAAAATATTTGCACATCATAATCATAGAACCATGGAATCACAGAATGGTTTTGGTTGGAAGTGACCTTAAAGATCATCTAGTTGCAACCCCCCTGCTATGGGCAGGGACACCCTCCACTAGACCACGTTGCCCAAAGCCCCATCCAACCTGGCCTTGAACATTTCCAGGGAGGGGACATCCACAGCCTCTCTGGGCAACTCGTTCCTGTGTTTCACCACCCTCATTGTAAAAAATTTCTTCCTTATATCTAAGCTAAATCTACCCTATTTTAGTTTAAAACTGTTATCCCTTGTCCTACTACTACAGACCTTGGTAAAACATCTTTCTCCATCTTTCTTATGAGACCCCTTTACGTATTGAAAGGTCTCCCCAGAGCCTTGTCTTCTCCAACAGCCTCAACTCTCTCAACCTTTCTTCAGAGGAGAGGTGTTCCAGGCCTCTGGTAATTTTTGTGGCCCTCCTCCATGGACACAAACATTTTCATGGCCCTCTTCCTGTGCTCCATATCTTTTTGTATACACATTCACTTTAAATGTGTTTTTCAGACAGGTCGAATTCCAGGTCTAAATTCTTAGCACAATAAGTTGAAAATATTAGGTAGAATGGCTTTATTTTCTTTTTCTAAGTTAATATACATAGAACCAAATCATACCAATCATCAATGGTTATCATTCATCACATAATTCAGGCACTTTTGACTGAAATGAATGCAGCGACCCAAACGCTAAATGAAGAATAACAATAGCACGTAGTACATTGCCATGCAGCTAGCAGATCCAGGAACTGTTATGCCAAGTTACGGGTTATGTTGGGCTGCAAGGATTACCTCTCCTGTAACTTGGTTACGAACAATAAACAAATAGTGCAGTCGGATTGCACACTCTACATCACTGAGTCATAGAAAAAGATGCAAAGTGAAAGTCCTAGGAAAAGTGCTTTGTGATTGCTAGGGTTTAACACAGCATACAGGGCTTTAAGCATCTCCTTCAAAGTCTTCCACAGATCATGAGCTAAATCAAGTCTGTTGAGAAGACTGAATTCTTGATGTTCAAAGTCTTGCCACCTGTTCAACACTATACAGCTCCTCTTAAATTTTGAGAAGAATCACTTTAGATGAAATATTTTTAAAATTCCTATAGCAGTATGCACATGTCCAAAGAGCCAAATAACTTCAAAATATTTTTCAAACTGCAGTCTGCTAGTAACACTGAAGGAAATTCATGAAGTCATAAAGTCCTCAGACTTGCTCTGCTTCTAAAGCAAAATGAGTGTGTGGAACAGAATGTCTAGAAATCGCTTTGCTTCAGCTACCTGAGCAGTTCCAGTGTGTTGAAAATACACACTGAGCATACAGCTCATGCACATAAGCAATACTTATGGCTCACATAAACTATCAAAACAGTAAATTTATGCACCAACTGACTTTCCAAAGCTCCCTCAGATATGTAGTTCAATACCTTTCAAGCATAATTTAGACTGTCACAAAGTATAAATGACTGAAAATAAAAGATGTGAGAGGTATCATTGATGTCAACCTCAAGCCACTTTTGTTCATCTGCAAAACCACATGTGAGCATAGGTCTGTGAATAACGTTCACAATTTTGATCAATTTTCCTAGGATTATGCCAAATTTGCTATTTGACTGTATTTCAGAATGTTGGTCCTTTAGCTTCAGCTGGCTACTTTCTGTTGTCATATTTAGTCAACATTTGCATAATGATAAAGCTAAATGACCGAGACAAGCTTGGACCCGAATATAGAAGACGCTGTATGAACTCATAGTTTGAGTTTTTGCTCAGAAGAGCTTAGGGTCTGAAAGACACAGTAGATAAAAATCACAGGCTACAGAATAGAAAGAAATGGCACCAAATTTACATTATCCTCAGTAAATCAGAAGCAAAAACTTCCTGCCATCTGGATAACCTTCATCAGCATACAATATTTCAAATATATTAGCAAATAACATCCCACTAGTCTTTGCCTACCTAGATATATTGAGACAGTTTGTATCAATTTCCATTTCCCTAATGTAAATTCAGACTGGCTTACTGAAGTGAGGACTATGATTTCCTCAGCGGAGGAAAAGTGAAATGTGTGCCTGTTTCCTTATCTGCTTGTATTAGCTATTTTAAATAAGAAACCAGCACTGGTGTAATTCTAATAAAGAGTGGTCCATTTAACAGTACAAAATCCAGTAATTGTATTCTTTTTCAACGGTCATGGTAGTCCCCATTGCTAGTGGTCATGACTCATCTAAGTGCAGAGGTGTTTCTCTGGGTTAGAGACTTGTCCTGGTTTTAGCTGGGATAGAGTTAATTTTCTTCCTAGTAGGTGGTATAGCACTGTCATTGGCAGTAATGACCTGGAAAGATGGAGGGGAACCAACAGTGGATGAACTGGCTGGCCAACTCAGGCAATACAAAGAAAGTCTCTCTTCCTCCCTCATCTGGGCTGTGGAGAAACTGGTCCAGCAACTCAAAGAGATCTTACTTCACACCTGTATGGACCGGTATCTCTGCTGTTAGGAGTAAGTGTTCCTCTGCTCGAGAGAGAGGATGCAGTAGGCCCACACCACTCTAACTAAAAAGAAAGAACAGATCATGCTGTGTGACATAATGTGTTTACTTAGGCAGCACAACGGAGCTGGTACTTTAGCCCCAGCTTGGGTAGTGGAAACTGCATCAGTGCTGGATTTGGCTAGGCTAAATAGTTTTGCAGAATGTCACTTGTTTGTCTGGAGTCAGCTCAGGTATTTGTGATCCTGCTATGCTGTGTGGCACTGACATGCACCAAGATTCCTCTCATTTCACTTCCACATATTAAAAGTAGGAGTCTAGTTTAAGCCAGCTGCCTAAGCTCCCTCTGCAGTCAATGGAAAAAAATTTGAAACAATCTGATTGTAGCACATTGTAATGCCAGAGGACCAACTATGGCAAATGAATGAATTTTCAGTCCTGGAGAAGTTAACAGCCAATGTTAACTGAAAATGGAAAACCTACGGACTCAGTTAGGAACAACATACAGTCATAAAAATAATAGAATCAAATCTAGAAGATGACAGAAACCCAAACGACCAATACTGCAGGTGACTGTCAGCTATGTAGAAGATCCTATCAGACCTTTTTGGGCTGTTGGACTAGTGTAGTTAAGGCACATCAAGTTTTGAACTCACCAGAGCGCAAGGTAGTACAACACACAACTTCTGACTCTCTCACCCAGAAGCTCATGGGCCGGTTTACAGGCAGATCAAATGGGCAGGTTGCCTCCCACCTCCCAGCCCAGACAGAGCTGCCCAGCTACACTGTCACTGCTCCTTTGTAGTATATGCATGTGTGTCTGTCTATATGCATGTGTGTATTTATATACATATACAAAAATACACACCCACACAAGAAATGCTATTTTGTCTTTCTTTACACACACTTGCGTCTATATCATATTTTAATGGTTTTATACTGCAGAAAGCGTAGGAGTTGATGACGGACTGAAAAAAACCAATATCGGGATGACAGCCTATCTGTTTGCCATATCTCACAGACAACATGTATTTAATTTGAAATATCCTTATATATAGATGTTATGTTAAAAATAACCCCCAAATTATCAATATAACTATGTTTTTATTAAAAATATATGGTTGTTAAGCCTTCCTCCATAAATTTCAGCTGAATTCTACATAAACTATTTTGCAGAGGAGCTGAGAAACTCTCCCTCCCACTTCTTTTGGAGACAACTGTCAGGAACTCCGGGTTCTCAGAACCCTAAAAGTCAAGCAAATAATTTTTTGCTTATTTCTTCCCCCCCCCCCTACCCTGCTCCTTTTGTTTCAGAAACAAAATAAAATAGATACACATTTTGTTAATTAAAATTCCTTTTTTTTTTTTTTTTCTGTATGAATACTGGCTATTGTTACTTTCTAAAATAATCTTTTGTGGATTTAACAAATGTCAGACTTTCATCAGAATTCTGTACCAGCATTCTTGTTTAGAGAGTTCTACAAAATTCAATTAGAATAGAAGCAACCCACTAATGCAAATGAGTTATTTGAATACAGTTTTTCTACATCTGCCTATTATGTAGTGCGTCAAAGATAGTTGACTCTTAATTTTTACAATGTGGGCCTTTAGTTAATGTTTTAATATAGTTTAGTTAATAAATCTCTCCTGATTTTCTCTATGTGCTACCCTCATTCAATCCCATCATGTTTAATAATCTTACGATCTTTGTGTTTAGTTTGGGGGATATCTTTAGATTCAGGGTCATTTAATATACAGATTAATTCAGTCCTGTACACATGAAAAAAGAGGAAAAATGTTCTTTAAGCACAAATGTGACAAATGACCACATGAGAACATTTTCTTCATGTAAATATTTAGAGAACATTTTAAATTTGAATTTAGACCTTATTTTACTCTGTGCAACATGATATATTACAGAAAGGTACAGACTGCACAGTTAAACTGTTGGTGCCAATGTCTACTAAAGATGTGGGGCCACCTCCTGGCTTTGCTTACACCTGTGGAAATACGTAGTTAGTCCATGAAACTCTCTAGATTAGCATTAAATTTGAGGTTTCATAGAAATATGTCAGGGAAGCACAGAAATCAGCTGAGTAATGCACCTATTTGCTTTAAAATCTTTTATAATTAAGGTAAGATCATGGTTAGAATATTGTTCTTAGGGGAAAGATAAGTATTTTTAAACAGGATTAAAGACAAATAGCTTAACACAGTGTTAAGTTGTTTAACTGGGATAATGAAAAACAGCTTTGACACGAGCTACTCAGACTTTTGCAAAAAGCCAAATAAAATTTATAATGGATGAAATCTTCAGAGTGAGAAAAAAAGAGATGTTTCTTTATAGAGCTGAATCTGCCATGCTGGATAAATCACACAAACT